ACTTAATACTTATACTTATCTTGGTTTCTGCGTTCATACAGTGTCTGTTTGTCTCATAGTATCTAAGTATAGTGGTTTTTTTTAAAAAATTAACTTATTTCTTGCGTGTTCTCCGGCGTGTGTACTTGTTGGCTTATGTGTCGGTAGTGGCTGTACTGGTTGTTCTGTTTTTCTTAATATATTGTATGCGAACAACTTTATCCTGCACTTGTTTTTTGCAGCGTTAACTATTATATAGATGGTAGTAAAATTATCTGCTGGACAGAAACGTGGACCTGTAAACACCATTGTTCAGGAGAAGAGAACACTGCTTGAAAAAAACGATGTAGTTTCACTGCGAACTCCAAACTTTCTCCTACATTACAGAGATGTTGTGGAACATTTGGAATCTTCTCCTCCAAGCAAATTTGACGTTTCACCGTAAGTCTTTTTACTGTGAAATGTTCTCTGAACCACTCATTATGAATTTTCAGACTTCGGTCGCAAAAAAAAAAAAAATCTCTTGTTTAATAGAATAAAGCATCTTGAAAGTGCTTTTTGGGTCGTCGTTTTTTTCTTCACTTTAAATACCTGTTTTCTTCTTTCACAACTCTTACTAATTATTGTCTTTGTAGACGAGGTGATGTGCTTGCTCTAATGAGCCATAATCGAGAATTGGAAATTTATGATTTGTTTGAAGAGAAGGTTGCCGTGCGGTCAAGAGTTAAAGGTTCATAAACCTCTATTCTCTTAATTTTATTTGTTGGATACTCAATTTGCAAGCATGGAGAGAAAAAATTTTTTTCTTGCATATTTGAAATGAAATTCTATTTGTTTTGCAATTTCTTAACTCTTTATCACAGTTTAGTTCTTGAAGAGCGATATCCTGAATGGTGTTTATTAAAATTCACGGCTAGTGGCTCTTTGCTGCTCTCTACCAGAAGTAATGCTATTATTGATGTATTTGATTCTTCTGGTGGATACTGCTATACAATAGCTGTTGTGAGTTTTTCGTTACCTTTCTTTGCTGAGGTGGATGTTAGTTTTTTAAAAATTTCTAACAAAAAGAAAGTGGTTTAGAGTAAAGCAGTTGAATCTTTTGATGCTTCTTCAGTCATCTGCGATGTAACTTCAGTATTACCTTTTAAAGAAACCACAAACTATTTGGACGTAGTCTATACCCTTCAATATAACTCAGTGTTTTCTTGTTACAAACTAACGTGAGTTGTTTTTCATGAGTTTTTTCGACTATCAGTTTGAATTCAACAGTTCTCTAAGTAAACTGGTCATGTTTTTCGTAAGAGGAAGAAGTATTTATGGTAGGGATGAAGGCTGTATTCTGACTTGCAGAAGTTTTTTGGTTTCCTAGAATATCGTCGTTTTTTATTTTGTTATAATAAAATGCTTTTTTTCTGGAGGGGAGAGGTTTGAAAGATTGGCGAAAGGTAAAAACTTGTAGATTAATCGGTATTTTTGGCGAGGAAGTTATTGAAACTTCCGGACACTGCTTTTAAAATTTTGGTCAAGTGACATATTTTGTGGATACAATTCTGTTTGAACCTGTTACTGACTCTAAAGTTTTATAGGTCTGTTGATTTTTCAGTTAGAAAGTAATTTTTAAAAGAATATTCTGTTTAGATTATTAAGTGGTTATGACTCTCTGTTCAAAGTTGATTTGGGTCAAGGGCTGACGACAGGATTTTTATTGGTTCCCTCCTTAAACTTGATGGTAACTGCTGGACAACATCGAGGTATTGAGAGTGTCGATGAGATCGATTGTAATTTGGTAAGCGATTAGTTGTACTTAATCACTTTTTTTTTATTGAAAATCTTTAGGTTGGGTTAAACGTTTACCGAGTTGTCGATGAAGAACCATATATCGTCGACGTGCGGGTATCAAAAACTCAAATCTCTATCTGTGATATTCTTACACATTGGCTGTTTTTTAAAAAACCACAGAATGGAGTTATTATTTCAATGTCTGCCAACCGTACTTACTCGAAGGTTTCAGTGATTTCTTCTACAGGCAAGATTCTGTGGACGTTTTGCGTACACTTTTTGTAAATTTTATCCAGTCTTCAACATTCTTAAAACGCGATTTTTAGGAGACATATTCTTATTTGACTTGCCATCCTTGCGCCTCTTCAGATATGTCCCTTTTTCTAAAGGAATGCCGAAACAAGTACAAACCATTTGGACCAGCAAGGAGGTTTAGTTAGTTCATACTGTTGGAATCTTATAAGAGATATCAGTGTTATTCATTGTATTAATCAGTTTAGGAGGTTGGCTTTCTAACTCGTCGTGGACAGTTCTTTCGCTGTAAAATTGATCAGCTGGAAGATGGATTAGCGGGGAAGTCTGAGGACGTTGAGGTATTTAATGAAAGTTCAATACTGCTTGCTCCAAAAGACGCAGTGGTGTTTGCCCTGGAGTCAAAGGTCAGTTTGTAATCTTCCAGGCCCTTCCATTTAATCTCCTTTGGTTATTCGTATATCCGTCGTTGTGTCATTTAGGTCATTTTCTCTGAAGGAAGTCGTCTAATAAAGAAAAACCGAGCGTGGCTTGCAGCCAAATTGCGATTGACTACACTTTACGATTATATAAAGGTTTTTTTGTGATAATTTTGAATAATGAACTTGTTTCTTACTTATTTCGTTTTTTCAGGCATACATTGACGCAGCAATTGGCCAGCCCTTAGTCGATGTTCCGGAGGCTGTTGAGAAACGGGAAATTAAATTAGCGTTGCATGAAATACGTTCAGTT